TGTGGGAACTGGACAATATTTTAGAGGAACAAGTCGAGCCATTCATTATTGACGTTGGTGCTTCAGGCAGTAGCGATGATGAAAGCTCATCAAGTTCATCTTTCCAATAAAAGATGTCGTTCATCAAATTCGGTAAGTTATAAGTAATTATAAAGCTACTGTATTTTTTAATTAATTATTGAGATGTTTGAACCCATTTTGGCAAAACCTATTCAAGAATCTACTTTCTGACAATGTTCAACCATGCACATTTTTTTACGTTTTGAACGTTTTAATTTGGTTACATATTTACCTAGAAATCAAAAAATATACTAATCAATATTCTAAAAGCAATTTTAAGAGATATACGATTATTTTTAATTTAGGCTAATTTAAACGCCATTTTGAGATTATATTCGACTGTATTTCACCAAACATCAGGCGGCATCCGAAGCTGGAAATCGAAGCGAAAATTTTGAAACCCTTATGTATATTTACATCATTATATATTTCTTACCCCACCCCCACATGATCCTATATCCATCACCAATCGTATACACATCGAATTGTGCTAATTTACTACAAAGTTACGCAAAGCAGCATCTACTATCTAAAATATGTACTGCGTGACTCTTAATACGTCCCTGCCGAATGTTACAGCGTTCGATGATCACGTGGTCTTGTTTATGTCCGGTCTATCTCTTATCTGAATATACTGTAAAGCTCATTTTTTGTTTAGAGTGTCCTAAAAACCGCAAAATACTTTAAACAAAGCGAACAAATCAATTTTTGGAATCGGTTTAATAACAATTTTTGGAGCAATTTTGGGCCTAGTCACATGCAGATTCTTTAAGAGGTCCTTGAATCAGATTATGCAAAAATAGGAATCGGAAGAGTTTTCCGAGCAGATGTTCCAATATTATCTGGACTATTATCCGAGTTCTGTGACCTGCATTGGCGCAAGCGTGTGGGGAGGGGCCACTTGTCAACGTCAAGGCTGGTACGCCAGTCCACGTGACACATAAGCCACAAAATACTCTTTCATCTGCTACTTTGACGTTAAACATATGATTATTTAAGGGTATTTAGCTTTCATGTTGCCTCAACTGCTACGTTGGCAATCCTGGCCGCGCATGCGCATGAAATGCTCATTTTCTTAAGTTAGCTTAAATCGTGCATGAACCCACCATAATGGTGGGTTACTTGTTTGCTGTGATTGTGGTGAAGCAGTGGTATGTGGGAAGTATTTTGATTTGAATACCTACATATTCATAATAATGTATGTTCCGTAACTAATTTTTGAGGAGAATGCATCAAATTAGTATACATACAAATCATAGGCTGTCATAACAACACTTTTTTCACGTTGCTAATATTTTGTACGTTTCGCAGGTGAGTTATGGCTGGTCTAAGGATATGTATTTCAGTAAATTATAAAGTGCCTACAGTTGCTTCATTATAATGTCCTGTTGCAATGCAAGACTAGTTGAGAAATATATTGACTTGCATTTCATAACTAACGGAAACGATTAAATAGATGATAACTCTGAAAGTACTATCAGGATTTTGATGAAATTCTCTTATAATATGAAAACGACGAAAAAGCTCTGCAGTTTTTGAAAATCGGTACAGTGGCGGCGGAGTTATCGTCGAAAAACAAACAAAAAAACGGTTAAATTTCGTTTTTCGACATTTCTGAGGCTTCAGTCAGACTTACGTTTTGCTCGCTGAAGAGAGATCTGAAATTATTTTTCGGCGCTCGAAAAAATTGTTTTATTGTTCATTTTGTATAATTTTTCCTTCTACCCGCCACCCATGGAGTGTGGATCGCATTTGAAAATTCTTCACGGCTTCCCCATATAGCACAACGACATCTTAAAAACGTGCAAAAGATATCTTACTCTGTACGTTCAAGTTGTCTTAAAGATATCTTGGATTTCCGGAAAAATGTCTCATATACGTCTTATAAATGTACGTATGTTCCAGTGGCGGCTCGTGATTTTACAAATAGGTGACGCAGGATTGACCGACCCCCCCCATACCATGTAGAGCGCATACACAAAAAAAAACATGAAATAACTTACCTAAATTCAGTAACTCGAAAACAAAGTCAGGATTATCAGGCACTTTTCATTGTTTATATATGAGAGCAATTCGTCGGTCCTTCAAATTAGCAAACTTATTTATAACGTCATCGTAAAACGGCTGTGACACTATCAGTTCATTTAATAATTCTTTTTCGATCGATATTTTTGCCAAGTTCGTCAACCGATCTTCCGACATGGTACTTCGTAGATAACTTTTGATTCGCTTAAGGCATGAAAAACTGCGTTCTGTCGAAACACTTGTTGATGGAATGGTCAGTATTAAACACAAAGCTTATATGCCTCCTTGAAGATACTGCGATTCTCAAATAGCGATTCCTTTAATAAGCGGGGTTCCATATTTTGATATTGATCATCGCTATAGATCAGCTGCAATTCATTTTTCAGTCTCTGAAAATCTGTGAATGTATTTGAATAAAACTCCTTCAAATTACTTAGGGCTTCTGTTGGAAATTTTTCTGAATATGTTTTGAACTTCGAAGTGTCCATTAACGGCACAAAATGAAGCTTTTCCATATCTTGGAAACGGGTCGTGATTTGCAGAGAAATGGTACCCAAATTTCAAAATACAGCACTCTATATCTTTCAATAATTTGATCCCGAGACAATGTTACTCTTGTCCTGCCGTCGCGGTGTTCCGTTTGTACACTTGTTTTTGATGCAGCCAATTCGAAAATATTCTTAAATGTTTCTTCATTTCTCTTCTTGTTTAATTGTGTTTGAACACTTTTAATTTGCTTAATGCAAAGGTTTATATCAAAAGATTTTTTTTGCAGTGTGTCGAATAGTATATCTGTCATTCCAAAGATCTCGTTAAAAACAACAACCAAAAGCACGAATTCGAAGTCATGGAATTTATTTAGAAATCCGTCGCTCTGTCTAACCGAGGCTTGATCGGAGGTTGGATCATTAATAATTTCAGTAAACACTTGCTTTAAGGAATCCCACTCCTTATTTATAAAACTGATAACTTTAGAATTTGATGTCCATCGCGTAATAACGGAAACAGGTATTCGACGTCCTATTATTGAGTCTGCTACGTTAGTTCGTTTCGGAGAATGGTGAAAAAATGTCGGTAAACCACTTATAGTTGCAAAAAAAATACGGCATTTTGTAATACTATTGCAACTTTGTTGTAACACTAGATTCATGCGGTGTGCGAGGCAATGAACAAAAACTGCTTGGGGTGCCTGTTCCTTTATTTTAGCCTGAAGACCATTTAACTGTCCGGACATGACGCTTGCACCATCGAAACATTGTCCAACGAGTTTTGTTTTGTAATCAAAATTTTGTAGACACCTTGTCACGAGGTTAAATAATGCTTCAGATGTTCGGCTGCAGCTTACATCATGAAATCCTAAAAATCTCTCCACAAGTTTTCCTTCAAGATTGACATAACGGATTATTATGCTGCACTGCGATTTGTGGGCAATATCGGTGGAATCATCCACCTGAATGGAAAAAAAACTGCATTCCTTTATTTCATTTTCCACATATTCATCAATGCATTTGACAATGCAGTCAATAATTTCGTTTTGAATGGTTTTAGAATTGCCCGCAAATATTGAGGCAATTTTTTTGTAGTGCTCCTGAATGTCTACAGGGCTTATAGATACAAATGCTTCTAGGAGCTCTTTGAAATTTCCACGGTTAATAGAAGTCGTCTCTTCGTTGTGGCCACGGAACGCCAGTTCTTGTTTGCCCAAAAAAAGGACAGCGCGTATTGGCAATTCCATGAAACGTCTATTAAGTTGCACGTTTTCGTTAAACTGTTTAATATACAGCCTGGAATTTTCGCGTAAAGCATCCTCAATAGTAGTGAGATTTTTCTTCAATTTTGAAAAACCTAGTGCGCAACGCATATGATCCGATGATCCTTCATGTTTACGAAGAGCACGAGTCACATTCCCGAAATCATTGAAACCGTACTTGCTCCACACGGTTGCTTTAACACTTACAATCAAACACGGCACACAAAAAAGTTTATTTAAATAATAGCTACCACATAACCATGCAAACTCACTATACCACGATTTTTTAAAATTTCGACTGTACACTTTGTCCTTAACTTTAGCGGTTTTATTTACATTTAATATCGGAGAAGGTTTTTCGGAGTTTAAAAAGTCTTTTTTATCATCATTACTCCATTGAGAAAACGATTTTTCCAACATAACACAAACCGTATCATAGACAGGAAACATTGTTCAAAACAATGAAAACTAACCTCGACACAATACGATATCGGTAATAATGCAGAGCAGACTAGACGCAAATTCATAATTTGCTTCACTTGCCTCGGCCAAAACGGAAGCGCGCGTGCCGTTGTCATGGCAACCGTCGTATTTGCTCGTATCTGTACTGGACGCAGCAATGCGGTGTAAATAAAGCTGCTTCAGGTCTCTGTTTCAACACGCCAAATTAAGCGCAAACGTAGGCGCGTTGTTTTTTGCGGGGTTTCTCAGTATTCTGTTGATCGCAAATACAAATAAAGAATGTCCGAAAAATAATTTTTTAAGATATAAATGAATTTTTTTTATAAATTTCAAAATAAAAAAAATATATTTTTTTTGAAATTGCAGGTGAAGCAGCGCTTCACCTGCGTCATGGGGCGAGCCGCCACTGGTATGTTCGTATGTTACAAATCCTAACATCTTTAAATGACATCTTTGAGATGTCTGTTGACTACGACTTTAAGATGTCTTTTGATTTTGATAACAGTTTTAAGACTTGTTTTGACCCCATTTTTCGATAAAAACTATAACTCTACAATAAAACAATTGAATATTGAAAAAATCTAGACCATATATTTTGGAATGGAAAATACAATGTATAGCGTAAGTTTAAAGTTTTTTATTCATTTGATAGGTATTTCTATCAGATGCTCTTCTCAGCCATAACTGAATTGCTGTTTCAGCGTCCTTTTTTGACTTTGCCAATGTTGTAGCTAGCAATGACTCTGAAAATCATGGCAGGACCTACTCTTGATCAAACCACGCCACAAGGGAGAATCCACGGAGAATCTATAGAGTAAAGAACACGCATTAAAGGGCGAAAATCAGACAAGGTTAAGAAACACATTCCAGCTTAAAAACTGATGATAACCACAAATACATACCTTTCAACTTGCAGGCAGGCCCGCGAAGTACAGAAAAGACAGTTTTCGTACAGATTATAGTTATTACACATAGATTAATTAGCATTAATTAGGCACCACAACCCCATTACGAACTTTGTATTTTCAGCTCACAGAACACATAACACTGAGAACGCGAGAACAGTCCCGTGTCATCCATAGCCATAGGGCAACGCAATTGACTTATGTCAATGTCAAGCGGCCATTTTTTTACTGCTTTGAGTTTTTTTTTTGAACATACTGCGAATATGGAACTGTAGGAGCAGTTTTCGGGATTCGCACCGCGATCCGCGCGTGAGTCTGGAGAGGGTATAAAGGAGGCGGCGATGAATTCGCGATCAGATTAAAACGCGGCGGTTTACGGACAGGCTCAGACTTGTGCGAAGCGAATGCGATTGTTCCAGCGTTTTTATCGCGGCGTATTTCAGTTCGCCTTTGACCGCGTTTTTGACGCCGTTCTTCAAAAATTCGCAATGGCAAAAACGGAATTATTGATAGAAATAGTGAAAAAGTATCCTCTTTTGTATGATTTGTCGAACGATGAATACAGGAATGTGAGAAAGAAAGACAAGATTTGGATGGAAATAGGAAAAGAATTAAATATAAATGGTATGTACCTAATATTTTTATTAACTTGTTAAATAATTTACAGTCTACACAAATGTGAAAACGAACATTCTATATATTGGGCATAGGCATATCAGAATTAAAATAATTTACGAATTTGTCACGAGTAGAAAATGCTAGCCTTGCTGCCCGCCGAGGATCATTTGCTATATCAGTAAAAGCTCCAAGCACGGGTTCTGGGGGATCTAAGAATTGAAAATATTTGTCATCGTCACTTTTACTTCGTAAAAAATTGAGACAAAATACCAAACGCATTTTCCACGACCCTTCTAGCTCGACAAAGTCTTACATTGTATTTCTCTTTTCTGACGTCTGTTAAAGTCTGCTTATAAGGAAATGGTCTCATAAGGTATGGTTTTAAAGCAAATGCTTCATCACCAATTAAGACGTACGAGCAGATTTCATTTTGCCCAGGGAGAAATCTAGGTGCAGGGACACTCATTAAATTTTGTTCAAATCATTTTCCCATGTTTGAGGTTTCGAAAATACCCCCATCACTATTTTTTCCGAAACCACCAATATCAACACATATAAATTTATAGTCCGGGCCAACAATGGCGATAAGTACTATTGAATATTTATGTAAATAGCACCAGTAATTGGAGCCACTGTTGTTAGGTCTCTTGATTGTTACAGTTTACCGTCCACGCTGCCAATGCAATTGGGAAATCCCCATCTATTTTCAAATTCTTCAGCACATTTTTCCATATATTCTCTGTTGGTTCTGGTAAATATATATGCTCCATATGTCTGCATATCGCTTCACAGACTTCGGTTACGATTGCACTCACTGTTGTAAAGCCAACTCGAAAGCTGTGCCCATGAAATAGAAGGTGTCACCAGTGGCAAGCAATCTATAGAAAAAATCGTTTTTAGGTGATGAAGTAAAAAAAAGGTGGAAGAATATCAGAGACACATTTGCAAAATATATAAAATCTACCAAACCAAAGACCGGCCAAGCAGTGGGCAACATAAAAAAATGGCAGTGGGCTGACTAAATGGAATTTTTCCGTCCTTTTTTGGCATTTGTCAAAACGTCGTCTAATGTGAAAGATATTGACGTCATACATTATGAGACTGCCGAATTTAACTCAAATATATATCAGGAAAAGGCTGGAAATGTAGAAACCGAAAATTTGGAAGACCGCGGCCATGGAGAAGATGAAAATGCTGATGTAGATGCAGAAGATGCACCGAACGCCTCGGCAACACAGACAGCACCACCTTCTTCATTGAACACTACAGCAGTGACTACTCCAGGGCACACCTTTCCGCAGACTACAACTACACCAAAATATAAAACGAGCAGAAAACGCTATGAACCACCATCTTCGTCTGTACAACAGCTCATTAATTATTTTGAAGGTAAAAAACCTAAAAAAGAGAACGAGGCCATTGATTTACTTTTCTTGGCACATGCACAGACTGTGAAAACACTTCCCTTAAAGCGTCAAGCCCGAATAAAACTAAAAATAGCCGAATTAATAGCGCACGAAGAATTTGAACATATTGAAGAAATGTCTTCAGCGTCTACCCAGAATTCTGCAAGTATGTATGATAGTAGTATGTCGTCCTTCCCAAGCGGCACTGGGTTTACTCCAATAATATACCCAACAGAGGAGGCAAATTCTGCCTCGAATTATTTAGCAACATTTAATCCTAGTGGCAACATGTAGTCCAATTATTACAATAAAATATTTATTTCACGATCCCTGAAGTTTTCGTATTCGATAAGCCTACTAATTTTAATACATATAATTTTTTTACCTGAGTGTAATAGCAAGTCGTTCTTCTGGCGAAATAGGTTCACGATAATTTGTGTCAGATTTTCGTATTTCATCTTTCACCAAGTTCAATATTTCATCGAAACACTCTGGAGTCATTCTAAAATATATGTAAAAGCGCTGTTCATCCAGCCGAAGTTGTGGCATCAAGGTATGGTATTCCCCAAATTTATTTCGTTCCAAGTTAATATCATGTACCCACTTTTCCCACGTTTCCTAAACAAAATTGAATATTTGTTTTATGTACTTCGTTAAACTTAATATATACCCAACTATCAAATGGCGTTAAATAAACATAACTTACCGTGCATTTTGTTCCTCTTCTAAAGCAAGAAATAGTAGTGCCTCCTCTTCTTCTGAAGACGAGCTCATTGCAAAAGGCAAAAATAAAATGTACGCAACCTGTCGAAACCTTCACGTTCGCGGAGCGAATAAAACGCTTTGGTATGAATAAACAGGTGAAACAGATTGCGAATTTCGCTCTGAATTTCGTTGCGAATACTTAGCCGCAATTATTTCGCGCCGGTTTGTGGGATGCTTAAAGGTTCAAGCGAGACACTGACACCGATAATAAACGTTGGCGCGACCATGCGTCGAACGTCCGAAACTAAAAAGTTCATCCCATCGTGTAAGAGACACATTTGCCAATTTTGGGGTGTCGAACGCTGTAAACAACGTTGTTTATTATTATGCACAGTGTTCTACTGTGGTTTTACTGTAATTCAAATATCAATTCTATGCTACTCTTGATATTACTCCAAAGTACCTAGACACACACTAACACTATTTATACACAAGGAAATCTACAATAAAAAATAATTGCTTTATGTTTATCTGCAAATTGTGGGCACGAGATATAAATGGTTAAAAATTTGATAACAATTAGTAAAAATACAAATTTACATGAAACATACACACCACCAGTTTTACTGCTTTGTTCAGAATCATCTTTAGCGTTTTGGTAAACATTGCTACGCTTAAAATTTTATATCTCTCCATTGGTATTCGTCAATATTTTATTCAAAACTTCTTTTTTATGACATTCTAGGAAAATAGCAGGTAGCAAAATTTGTATTTTTTCAAGTGTTTAAATTACAGTAAAACCAGAGTAGAACACTGTGCATAATAATAAACAACGTTATTTACAACCAATTGTGGGGTGTCGAACGCTGTAAACAACGTTGTATACAACGTTGGAAGCATCGTGTGGGACCCGCATTATACAGTCATTTCTATTGACAGTTCTGTACGATTCAAACTTCTGTCAACCTCTAAATTTCAAAATGCAAGTTTTTGCTATTTTACAGAGAAAATGTCCAAGAATAAAAAAGTTTGTGTGTATAATAAGCGTTATGTTTTGCTCGTTCACTATCAAAACAATAATATAGAGGAAAGACTCTTGAACTTGACAGTCTCGAACATAAATGATACAGTGGTAAGCGCAAGTAAAAGAAAACTGTCTACTACACAAATTATTCAATTAATTAGACGGGTTAGGAACTATATTATATGTTAAATCTATATCCTTCATAAAGCTTACTTTTATATTTCCTGAAATGGATGTAAATTTGGTACAATATTGCTTCAAACCGAGAGAAACTTTAGTATTTTTCTCCTTGATTGTTAATTTTAAGCTTAATATATGATTGCAGGAAATAAAGATTCGAGATCCTTCAGAATTTTCCTTTAATTACACAGAAGAAGTAGATTTCAGTAAATTTGAAATAATGAAAACTAGCCAGTCTTTAGATATCAATTTTGACGAATTTAAATACAACATTTTGGATATGTTGCAGCAGTATGACAGAAAAGAAATGTGAGTATCCAAAGCAAACATCATATGCACTCAGTATTTAGTTGTGCTAGGTATTTAGGCAATTCCAGACTGTCAATTTCTGATGTATATCAGAAAATGCATGTTCCCACAATACATTGCTCCTATACCTAAAAAAAGAAACATTTTTGTATTGAAAGTTTGAAACATATTTTCACTCAATTTGCACAAATGTTTAATTTCATGAAAAGTTGGTCAACAGTTGGAGAAGGAATTTATTCAATATCTGCTGTTTAATTTACTAGCCAGGGTAATATGGGGATAGAGATCAGCAACATAATCTTAGGCCAAGTTTGAGATATCACATGAATATATCAATAATGTAATATTTTCCATTTTGAGAAACTATAGAACAGAAAAATAGAAAGGAAACAAAAACAGAAAATTAAAATCACTTAGCTCAGAAACAGAAGTTCACTTTTGTATCAGAGGGTCTCATTTTGGTAGAAATGTCATCCTTATTGTTAGTAAAATTAAGAACCTCTAGTTGAGTCTCATGGTGAACCTAGTAGTGATGATGGTGGGACTGATAAGCATCCTGGGAAGAAATACATGTACATTCTATAATAATGAAGCTTTATTTCAGGTTTTTGAAATGCTTAGTCTCAGCTGACATATGTACATTGGTTTTTTATGGCAAATCTAAAATTAAATCAATTGTGTACTTGACTGTAGACCTACATATGACAAATCAAAAAGAAATATATGAAGAGTTGATTGTTGCTCTTAATAATCTTCAAGTGAGTTCAAGTTAAATTAATTAGTTACATTTAATGTTAAAATATGGGTACTTATTGGTGTTCTGAAACGCTGTCAAACAAAGTCTAGAGAGATCTTTGTATGAATATTTTTCTGCAAATAATGTTTGTGTTGTTAGTTGTTTACATTGTATCATAGGCACATATATTAATCTGCAAAAGCATACCTAACTGAATCCAATATAAAGAAAATTAAGTTGCTCACTAATATAGCCTCCTAGATACTTGAAGTATGCTACTTGTTCGAGTTTATGTAATTAATCTGAAGGTAAGCATAAATATGAAATTTGTTTTTGCAACATTAAACTTTAGTCCCACCTGGTGTCTAATGCTTTCCATAGAATAAAGCAGTTCTTGGAGACACTCTAAACTAATAGCTATTATAATAGTATTGTCAGATTAGCAAATTGTTTTTAAGATTGCTCCATTTATCTTACTAGCTTGGATTCCAGTAAAAGCACAGACTTAAACAGGATACCACCACTATTTCTAAAGAGTTGCTGTGAATCACTAGCTTCCCCATTGTTCATCGTCTTCCAAGCCTTCATTTTATAAAGGTGAATTTTCCGCTCTTTGGAAGTACTCTTGGTTAGTGCCGATATTTAAGTCTGGTTCCAAAAAGACATTAAGAACTACTGGGGAATATCCTTATCGCCAGTTTTGTCCAAGGTTTTTGAATCCATTATTGCAGAAAAACCATTCAACACCTCTATCCCCAAATCAGCACGGGTTCTTCAAAGGAAGATCACCTGCAACAAAATTAGCAGTTTTCCAAGAATACTTAGTAGGTAATGTTGAAAACAACAAATGGATGTAGTGTACACAGGCCTAACACAAGCTTTTGATAGAGAACATCATGCTTTATTAATCAATAAACTGTCCAACATAGGTGTTATAGGGTGCTATATACACTGGATATGTTCGTCCCCCATATACCCTAAACAGTGTTTGAAAATGAGTGATGCCAAGTCTTATGTCTGTCATAACCGTTCCATCTGGTGTGTGGCCAGGTACTCATTTTGGTCCAGTCATCTTTTTATTATTTATTAATGGTGTAATTGTTTTAAAAAGTGTATGTCTTTTATATGCGGACGATTTAAAATATTTTTATTCTCTTACGTCTATTGAGGTTTGTAAAGACATTCAAGTTGATTTAAATAATAATAATAAATTTTGTGAAAATGATTTTTTAAATTTGAATGTTACAAAGTGTGTAATGCAGTTTTTTTTAAATGTTAACGTCCATTGATTCAGCAGTATTTTATTAGTGATTGTCCCCTGGGGGAGGGACATTTCTGTGATTCAGGAGTAACTTTTAGCAGCAGCATTAGGTTCAACAAAGACATAGATAATATTTTAATAAAGTGTTTTAGAATGTTGGGTTTTATTCGTCGTGTGTGTTCAGGGTTTCACAGTACCTCAGTTATCAAGTCATTTCATAACTCATTCCTACCTAGTATTCTAGAATATAACAACACATTCCTACTTAGTATTCTAGAATATAACAGTCTCATTGGTAGCCTTTCTACCGACATCACATCTAACATTGGAAAAAAGTTTTATTTAAACTTTTATTCCCATACTCTGGACTGCCATATGAGATATGCATGCAGGTAGTTGAGTGGAAAAGTCTTGAAATTCACAGGCAAAATGAGTTGGCCAAATTTCTATTTAAGCTGACTAATAATTACATAGTCTGTAGCTTCCTCTTATCACATATATTTTCGTGTACCTCGGAGAGGTACTAGGTGAAGAGAACAGTTTCACATTTCTAGGTGTCAAACAAACTATGGTTCTATTCACTTTAGTGATCGACTTGTGAAAAACTATAATATGTATTAAATATATTTGTTTAGTTGTAGTTTAGATTCATTCAGTAGGAATAATAATAGATAGTTCGATTGACTGTAATATTTGGAGAATATCTCTGTACATGTACATTACTAAATAAATAAATCTTTAGATATTTTGATTAGTCACAAAAATCGGTGGTATGTCTGGTGACAAAGCAACTGATAATGTGAACAAGTATGTGTTAGACAGGGTTATATTATTTCGCCTCTATTTGTTAGCATTTTATCAGATAAAGTATTTTGGACGGCATTACAAGATTGACACAAACGCTCTACTATATGGAAAAAACATGTTCCTGAGCACCAAGAGGTATTCAACATAAGGGTGTAAAATAGTTTTAATTATTTTTCACAGGAATCAAATGATAGGCTGAAAAAGCAAGTAACAAATCTGAAGAAGTCTACAAGTGAGAAGGATAGACAAATCCAAGCAATGAATTCTGAAATATCTCAACTGAATGATCATTTCTACACTGTAAGTTTAGTAGTATACAAAGATTATGGCCATAAATTATTATCTTGAATTTAAAGTCGGAAACGAAAATTGTGCGAAATTAAAAGACATCCGAGAGTCATAAAAAGCTCAAAGCAAACATTTGGTAAACGCTGTTGGAAAGATGTAAAAATTACATTTTTTCGGTTTTCTTCCGCTGCTTGTCGAACATTTTAGTTTCGCAAATTGGAATGAGGAAGCATACACTCTTTTAACATCAAGTATACTAAGTGACATAAATCCGAACACGCAGTTTAAATGGTTTTATTTTAATAAAATTTGGTATAAGTACTTAATGAAGCATAATAAGTAAATGATAAAAATTTCAAAATGATTGCACTGCTTTAAAGCCCTTTGAACTTTAATACGCATTCTCCAACGCGCCTAGGCATGCTTCTGATCAGGTGGTCAATGTCATCCTGTGGTATCTCATTCAAGGCAACCACCAACTCCTCTCGAAGTGCTTCTAGAGTCTGAGGAGGACGTTGCAAATTGAGCAATCTCCTACCCATCATATCCCACACGTGCTCAATTGGGGATAAGTCGGGAGATCTTGGTGGCCATGGTAACAATGTGACATCATTATGTTGAAAGAAGTCTATTGTGACTCTTGCAACATGTGGTCGGGCATTATCTTGTTGGAAAGTTGGATCTGCCAGGGTGTCAAGATAGGGTAAAAGATGGGGTTCTAGAACCTCGTGGATATAACGCTGCGCGTTCATGTTACCTCTAATGAAGATTAAAGGTGACCTGGAACCATAAGCTATAGCACCCCAAACCCTAACTCCAGCAGTGTGATGAACATGTCTTTCAACAAAAAACTGTGGATTCCTCCTTTCACCACGTCGCCTTCTAACCCTGGCACGACCATCGTGCATGCCTAACCAAAATCGAGACTCGTCACTAAAGACAATACTGTTCCATTCCTGATCCCAGAGTGACCGTTGTCTGCACCACTCAAGGCGATTACGTCGGTGTTCTCGAGTTAAAGGGAGGACCCAGTGTGGCCGGTATGAAAACAAGCCAAAACTTCTCATTCGTCGGTAAACACTTCGCATGCCAATAGGTCTTCCGTGTTCTGCAAACCATTCATTTGCAATGGACCTGGTAGTGGAGAAACGGTCCCTTAAGGCCAATAATATTAGGCGGCGATCTTCACGGTCTGTTGTTCTACGGCGGAGTCCAGTGCCCCTTGCTCTTTGCGTACGGCCTTCTCGAAGCCATCCCTGACAACACCTAACCACAGTGTCTACACTTCTTTGCACTCTAACTGCAATGGCCCGAAAAGAAAGTCCAGCTTCCCGAAGTCCCACTATACGGCCCCTATCAAACTCACTAAGTTGACGAAATCGTACAGGTCTCCGTACTCTAGGCATCGTAACCGATCGTAAAGGATGTCAAGAACCAAAATCCGCCAACGTTGATTCTTTACTGCGGCTGAAATATTCATTTTTAGAGCATTAGTGAATTAAAAAAAAGCAGTATAAAAACCGGAATGTCCAACTGATAAGGCTGAAATTTTTTTCACTTGTTATTTACAGTCAGATAAATACATTCACCAACTTTTATTAAAATAGAACCATTTAAACTGGGTGTTCGGATTTATATGTCACTTAGTATATTTGATTTTGCTGGACTATTAATACAGTATCATATACTTGGCAGAGGGGTGCTTTTAAGAAAAAATACTCGATACCTGTGTACTGAGTCAATGAATTTTATTGTTCCAAATATAATCTATTTCGTGCTTATACACTGCTCGCCAAAGTTCGCTCCACTCAATGATCACAATAACAATATCCTCATTCTACCATTGCACTTCCCGGAGGACTGAGAAAAAATGTTAAACTCAAACATTTTTTGTATATGGCTTAACTCTATTTTGATGAATTTTACAATTACCAAAATCTACTAATACATTAGGTGAGCAAATACTTTTCACTGTATAAGGTCCTCTGTAAATAGGTTCCAACTTATGACCTACTTCAAATTTGTTTAATACGAAATTATTTTTCTTATATTTATGGGATATCCTACTATAAACTGACTCCTCCCTTGTCTTTTGGCATGACGGTTAGTTGTAGGGTTTAGTATGAAGTTTTTTAGGCAATATATGTTTTAAATAAGCGCAATACCACAAAGTTGTACTTTTTAAGCGAACACCCTGTATATTTTAGTCAAACTAATAGTTACATTTTTTATTTTAAATGTATATGGTTTATTATGATCATTTTCATTATTTTCGTCAAAAACTTGAATTATGTGTATCATTTAATCATATACTAAGTGACATATAAATCCGAACACCCAGTTTAAATGGTTTTATTTTAATAAAAGTTGGTGAATGTATTTATCTTACTGTAAATAACAAGTGAAAAAATTTTCAGCCTTATCAGTTGGACATTCCGGTTTTTATACTGCTTTTTTTTAATTCACTAACGCTCTAAAAATGAATATTTCAGCCGCAGTAAAGAATCAACGTTGGCGGATTTTGGTTCTTGACATCCTTTACGAATTAAATTAAGAAATCACTTGTTAAATCTACAATTATAGGTTGCCCAGCATTTACATCATACATCATATGGCTTGAATTTACTAGTTCTAAGTTGTTTACCTACAAATATTCTGTTTATGTAGCCAAACGTGCTAAATAATCTTTCTACTACTACTACTAACCGTCAAATATAGATGAACCAAATTTTATGCGAAGAGGTAACTCAACATGAAGAATTCAAAAATTATATCTGCAAGGTTGCCAAGTTTATAGTTTTCTCTCTTGGTTAGGGAATTTCAAAATTTTAAATTTAATACCCTAATTTTTATTATTGCAATCAATTGTCTGTATTTAAAATTTTAAAATTCCCTAACGTAGAGAGAAAACTATAAACTTGGAAACCTTGCAAATATAATTTTTGAATTCTTCATGATGAGCTACCCCGTCGCACAAAATCTGGTTCATTTATATTTGACGGTGGATGAGATAATCCACCGTTCCGTTTTTTCTACTGACCCTGTATATATATCTTAAATCATTAGATTTAGAAATAACTTTTTAAAAAATTTTATTTGAGGACTGAAGCTTCAGTCCATATAAAATACAAAGGTTTACAAATGTGACATATACGGAGTCTAACCGGGTATTGAACAACAGGATATGGCGGCGAGGCCTATTTATACATTCGGAAAGCTGACTAAGAATTAGTAGAAAACAGCAAAGGCACTATTCTAGCAACGGATTAGCGAGAAGTTGTTATCATATGCTGACACAGCGTCTGGTGCAACATTGTATAATAACTGCGTAGTTACTATGGCCATATAACAACTCCCCCCTATTACAAAAAGTTGTTGCTATGCGACAACTTTTGACAAAAATTGAAAAATGTAAAAATCTCAAAAAAAATGTCAAAAGTATAAATTTGTAAAAATGTAAAGTGTAAAATTGTAAACATTGTAAAAATATAAAAAGGTATACAAATATAAAAATAGTAAAATTGCAAAATACAAATTGCAAAAGTAAAATCAGAAAATACAGATTCTGAAAAATAAAATTGTTAGCATAAATGCGGTACATTGGCGATGTAAAATAACATCTAAAAGCAAAGCTGGAACAAACAAATGATAAGATACAATCGTACAGTCGTACGGGCAAAATCACATGGAAGATAACACGAAAATTGAAAATGACTTTTTGAACAGTGAAAACACTTCACGGAACACTCACTGCAGCTCGATGTCTTCTTCATGTGGCTGGATGGTTGGTCTACGTCGAGGAAAAAGTCTGGGAATGTACCGGACTTTTGGTGCTTCTGGAGATGGGCCATCGGCTGGATAATTTGATGCGCAGATGCTGAGTGGTCTACGTTTTCTGCACTTGCAGAACAGGTACAAAGCTACGATGATAACTAACAAGGTGATGATGAAATACGTGAACCATGAGATATGTGTCGAAACAAACGGCGCGTTCATAATTTTGTCCAGTTGTTCAGAATATTGGTTTAATTTGTGATTGGCAATTTCGAGTTCTTCAGTATCGATCTTGCTTAGCTTGATGTGATATTCTTGTAGGTGCTAACATAATATCTAGAATGTAATCTCGTGGTGCCTACAAAGCCACTGCATTCGGGCTGCATTTTTAAAAGTGAATTAACTTTTATCACTTTGGTGGTAGTCTCTCGTTGTCCACACTTCATCGTAATTGGCAGAGGGCTAGATATGGTGATTAGCCAAAAATTGGTTGCAAGTTCTTGGATTTTGTGATCTTGCAATGCCTCAATTGCTATTTGGCAGGCTGTCGGCAGATCGACCGGATTTCGCAACAACTGTGCTTCGCAGACTGCATTACTGTCTATTGGATACGGCAAGAGGTTGAAACAGATTTTCACCTGAGACTGAAGAACTTTACAACTACCTAAATTTTGAAAGGAAACGTACAAAAGAGAATCGCTATCTTTAGCAATGTACCTCGATATAGTGGAGACTACATGAAACAAACCAGTACGTTTATCGAGAATGGGTAGAGGAATCACTCTGTATAAAGTATACATTTCGGGCTCTAATAACGGGATGCGTAGAACGAATACTACTCTTGTTTTAGTTTGATACGCTTCGAGTTCCATAAGATTAAGGTACTCTGACACTGTTGCCAAATTAACCGGAAGGGGTAAATTATTTCTCGACAAAGTGTGAGAGATTTCTTGAAGAGAATTTACTAAGTCTTGAGGAGTGATAATAGAAGGATGTATTATTTTTAAACGTGCAAAAGTAATTGAATTTAGAATATCATTAATTGTCTCTTCTAGAAACATGTAGCTTTCCATTAATTCTTCGCAAACTTCTAAAAATTGGAATTTAGCTTCATAAAATGCAAGATCGTCTGAAATTTCATAAATTTTGTTTTCAATAACCTTAATATCTTCATTAAACGTAGTTTCATCAATCATAAGTTTTTGAATAGTGCTATTAAAATTCTTGATAACCGGCATGGTAACAGAAATTTGGTTCTTCATGAGGTTTTCGAGCTCATGTTCATCTTTAGAAATTTTGTTAATACAATCGTTATAGTATTCACCGTCCGATGAATCGAGGTTGCCGGTTATTGCTTTCCATATGGTACCTATAGCGTTAATCAGACCGCGTTTCATCCGCGATGCGCTTACAGTGTCATCGAAGATCGCGTAATATTTAGATTCCAAGGAACGAGAAATTTGATAAAGGAGACTTGTATGAGTTTTAATTTCGCCGCTAAATATTTTCATACGATTGGTGGGTTTGTCTACGAGATATGATAAGTGTTCCAGAATATAGTTGTTATCGTCAAGTGCTTTCTTAATGAGTTCTAAGTCTTTATATACAAGGAGTGTCCAAATTTCGTTGGAAATCTTAAGAGGGGCGTCTTCATGAAAATAGATACCTAAGGTGTTGTTAAGCGGTTTGTTGTCTATCTGGGCTGTGACAGCCGCAAGAAACAGCAGACTGCACACTGCACCTGAAAGAGAAACTAAGTCTCAAAACATGGTTTCAGTCTGTCAAAATTAACTTTACTTATTCTATTTGTTTCCGGGTTCTTAAGGAGCGCAGAATTTTCAAAAACTTGAGTAATTTCGAATGGGCCATCAAATTTGTTCTGAAGTTTGTTTGAAATTTGAGACTGTTTCACAAAGACTTTATCGCCAACTTTATATGATTGTAAATTGGGTGACACTCTACTATCAAAGCGAATTTTTGCTTTTTGCTTCTGTTCGTCAGTTCTCACGCGGGCAATTTTGTAGTAATATTCGAGTTTATTCCGAATGTCTCGAACATACTTGGACATCAATTCTTTTTCTAAATATATGTGTTCGGGCGGACGACCAGAGGTGTGGCCAAACACGAGCTCGTATGGTGTAAAGCCAGTAGTTTTATTTCTAGTGCTATTGTAGCACTGAACAGCATAGGGAAGAATATTGAAGGGATGTTCGTCGGGATTTTCGGATACATGGGATCTGATCATTTCCAATAAAGTGGCGTGAAATCGCTCAATCGAGCCATTGGACTGGGGATGACTGACCTAGAAAAAGTTAATTTAATGTCATAAAGACTACAAAGGTCTTTCATGAGGGCGTTGTAAAATTCTTTTCCGTAATCACAGTGTATTCGGAGAGGTGTACCATAATGTTGGAAATAGAAAAGTAGAGTATTTACTACAGATTTTGCAGATTTGTCGCTAATTGAATAGGCTTGAGAAAATTTTGTTAGCTCGTCTCGGATTGGGAGAGCGTAGCATTTAGGTGGGATTTCCAAAATGTCAATGTTGATTCTTTCGAACGGGGCTTTAGGGGTTTCAGTTACTACAAAAGGGGCACTGAGGTTTTTACGACAAATTTTGGTCTTTTGACAAATTTCACACTTTTTGATGAAATGCTCAACGTCTTTAGTTAAGCCGGACCAATTATATCGTTCACGAATTCGCCTCATTGTTTCATTAATTCCTCGATGAATGTTTTTCTTACCACAATGGTATTGATCTAAAATGACGGGGATTTCATCGGGACTAGGAGTTTTGGTGACGTTTTGGCAAACGACAAGTTTGATATTATCATCCGAAAAAATAAAAGAGAAAATTTCTAAAATGGGTAAGTCCGAATTATTTTCAACGTAAATTTGTTTTGATAGGTCGAATACACCTTTGTTGGTTAAAATTACAGAGAAAAGATGCTGTATGCAAGTTACGGGATCGTATGGCACAGGAATAATATAGTATTTTCTATCTTTAATTGTTTTGCTAGAAGCGATGTTAATTTTATCTGCAGAAAAATCAAGATTTTCCTCGAATATGTCTTCGATAATTTTTTCGTGAAGATCAGATAGAGTGTTTTGTCTGAAAAACGTGACCATATGTTTATGACTCTTGTCTAGGAGTTGGGAATTTGAAAATTGGATTTTGGAATAATCGATCAGGGATGTGGTTTTGTAAAGGCGGGCAAAGATATCAAATTCACTTTCGGAAAATTGGGTAGAAGGTTCTCCTTCTTCGTCACTATGGGTAAGGGCGTTAACAGTTTTGGGTAATTTGATACGTGATAGGGCATCGGCATTTTTATTAGCCTTGCCTGGCTTGTAAACTATTTCATAGTCGTACTCCTCTAGCTTGAGGCGCCATCTTGCTAATCTACTTCCGGTGTCTCGGAAAGAGAAAAGCCACGTATGGTCTGTTACAAGTTTAAACTTTCGACCATACAAATAAGGTCTAAAATGTTTTACACTCCAGACAATAGCTAGAAGTTCTCTTTCAATGGTGGAATATCTCGTTTCTGCTTTACAAAGTGTACGAGATGTATAGGCTATCGGGAGATCTTTACCTATGGGACCTTGGGAAAGAACGCCAGATATCGCAAAAGCGCTTGCGTCTGTTGTAAGCACAAAAGGCTCTTCAAAGTTGGGGTAGATCAGTATAGGAGATGTTGTTAAAGCATTTTTTAAAGTATCAAATGACTTAACACACTCGCTATCAAAGTCAAATACTGCGTCTTTCTGTAATAGTCTGGTAAGGGGTTTCGCAATTTTGGCAAAGTTTGGTATAAAGCGTCGGTAGTAACCTGCAAGACCTAAGGAAGATTTTATTTCTTTAGGATTCTTGGGCTGACGGAAATTTTTATGCAATCCACTTTATCTGGATTGGGCTTAACGCCATCAGGGGTTATTACATGACCAAGATAGGCTACTTCCTTTCTGAGGAATTCGCACTTATCAGGCTGGATTTTGAAATTCGACTTCCGAAGACGCTTAAAAATTTCGGTAAGCCTACTGATGTGTTCTTGGATGGAGGGGGAATAGACAATTATGTCATCCATGTATACAAGACATCTTTCGTTTTGTATACCCATCAAGATGTTGTCCATGACACGTTGAAACGTGGCAGGAGCGCTCTTGAGACCAAAAGGCATCCTCAAGAATTGGTAATGTCCGTTTTCAACTGAAAATGCAGTTTTAGGAACATCAACTGGATTTATCTCGATTTGATGAAATCCAGATGCCAAGTCCAGTGTACTAAAGTACTGGCATTACCCTAATTGATCAAGTAGATCGGAAATGTTTGGCAGGGGATATTTATCATCGATGGTGATTTCGTTAAGCTTACGATAGTCAATCACCATACGCCATTTCTGTTTACCAGAGGCGTCCATTTTCTTTGGTACAACCCACACCGCAGAATTCCATGGCGATGTGCTAGGTTCGATAATACCTTGTTTTAGTAATTTTGAAATTTGATCTTTGACTTCTTGCTTGTGGACATAAGGGTATGGGTAGGATTTGGTAAAAACTGGTTTACTGGTAGTGGTATCAATGGAATGCTTAATTTCGTTTGTAAATGACAGGCTATCACCATCTAAATAGAATTATCAAGTATGGCCAGTGACATAAAGGATATTAAGAACTCTCAATCTCAACTCAGAACTGATATTGCTTATTGTAGAAACTTGCTACAGCAACATTCGGACTCGATCTCTCGGCATGATGACTTAATAGCGGCCTGCGAAACCAACATACAAAATATCCAGGTTACTCAAACAGAGCTGTCTTCTAACATTGCTAATATTGAATCGAGACTTGCAAGATCTGTGGAGACGATGCACTCAGGCAATGGCGCTTCTTCTACCCCTATTGCCCCAAGCTCCCAAGCTGAGACAATGGAGTTATTTAGACGTTCCCACAATATCATTCTGAGGGGTATAGCTGAAGGTAACGATGACATAAACATAGTATCAGAGATAATTAGGCATATTGAACCATCTGCCGAAAATCACCGACTCAGCATCACTCGCCTTGGCAGAACAACTTCAAGCAATCGTTTAATTAGAGTTGTGTTTTCCTCACCTATTATCGTCAGCAATATTTTGCGGAAGAAAAACTCCATCCTTAGCCACCCCACGCTTCGTCACGTAAAAATCTCTGACGACAAAACCAGAGGTCAAATGCAAGAACTACAACACCTTCGAGAAGAGCTTAGACGTCGTCAAACAACAGGCGAAAGTAATATTACTATAAAATACGTTCGTGGTAAACCTTCTATAGTACACACAGCTACCCAGGAGATCACACCTTCAAAAAACTGATAAATTCTGTGGCAAACTGGACGGTTTGTTACACTAATATACAATCTCTCTTTTCTAAGCTACTTGAACTCCAAGCATTTGTTCGAGACAATAATCCAACGTTCGTTTGTCTTACTGAAACATGGCTCCATTCCAACGTGTCCGACTCTTCCATCAATTTGCCTGGATACTATTTATACAGAATGGATTCACCACGCACTCCTGGTTTTGGTGGAGTATGCATTTATGTTCGCACGGAAATCGCGTCGGCTTTCTCGGTATCTCCCTCTTTCAGTCCTTTCGATGGCATTGACAATCTATTTTTGGAATTGAGGTGCCCAAATTTCAGCTTCACGATAGGCTGCATATATCGGCCACGGCCCTGTTTGGGAGACACACACCTGTGCAGTCTCATTTCAGATCTCTTAAATAAAAACACCAACCTTTTCATAGCTGGTGACTTCAATCTACGTGACATTAGCTGGCCTATGTCAACCATTCCTGAATGCAATTCTTCTTCTTCTGCTTACATCGACTTGCTAAGCAACTCTAGCATATCTCAACTTGTTGATCGTCCAACGAGATTCAGAGAAGGACAGACGCCTAGGGCTCTGGATTTGATATTCGTTAACGACGCAGACTTTGTTTCTAATTTAGATTATTTGCCACCTTTTGGCAAGTCTGACCATTGTTCACTTTTATCTTCTCTCCAGTTCAATATAAATAGTCGTTCTACAACCGATAAGTTTAAAACCATCAAAATTGTAAACCACGATGCTCTTAACCAAGCCCTGTCTGAAGTCAACTGGCCTGCTTTGCTTAACAACCGTAGCACCCAAGATATGTGGGACACTTTCGCTCAACGAGTCCTAAGCGAAACGGCTGACAATACTGTTGAAAAGAAGGTATACTGTGACCCCTCAAAGCCCTGGATCAACTCTAACATATCGAGGATGCTTCGTCACAAGAGATCTTTGTGGCAACGGTTTAGGAGGAGTGGCCATTCACAAGATTACGTGTCTCATCGATCCTTTTCTAACCTCCTATCTAGAACGTTACATAATGCCAAACATGCTTATGAACGAAAACTCGTTACCTCCAAAAATAAGAAGAAGCTGTTTCGGTATCTAAGAACAAACCTGAATTCCAAAGTTTCATCACCTCAGATCCGCGACGCTGACGGTCATCTCCACATGGATGCCACCGAATCTGCCAACTTACTGGCAGAGTCCTTTAGTGATGACTTCGTCGATGAGCCTAATGGAGACCTTCTACCGACCACTATCTGCGATAGGTGTCCCAACAGCCTTTGCGAAGTTGAGTTCCTGCCTGAAGATGTATTAATGCACCTGCGAAATCTGAAGACCTCTTCCTCCCCTGGTAAAGATGGGATGACGGCTGCTGTACTTAAAAACTGCGCTTCAGCACTGGCCCTACCATTAAGCTTGATATTCACATCGTCTTTTAGATCTCATACCCTACCCTCATGCTGGCTTAGTGCTTTTGTTACCCCTGTATTCAAAAAGGGCGACAAATCCTCCGCTAAAAATTATCGACCAATAAGTCTCGTTCCTATCGCCGCCAAAATAGCTGAAAGAATCATATTAGATAAGCTCCAGTCATTTGCTTTCGAAAATGACCTTATCCCTAAGAATCAGCATGGATTTCTCCCTGGTCGATCAATAATGACCAACCTTCTCCACTCTCTCAACGATTGGACTCAGTATCTGGACACAAAGAC